ATGCAGGAGTGTATCCGGCCTAGAGGCAAGCTGCAAGGTACTAACGATGGCCAATATCGTTGTTTTTGAATATCTGTGATATTTGATATCATTACTTGAATCGTCAAATCCCAAATACCGCTATTTTCACCCCGGTAATTCTACGCACGTATTAGCCATATTTCACACATCATAGGTTTCTCCGTAAGTTTTTCTTTAAAACTGAGAGAAACATGTTTTTGATCGCGTTTCCTTCTGCTATCTGGGCTCTGCTCGTACTGCGGCGGTACGTCGATGTTCGCTGCCGCGTCTGACGATGTGGGAAAGGGGCAATGTTGCCAGATGGACGGTAGGACAGGGAAAGAATGTCTATGGGATAACTGGGACTATTTGACTAACTGAGTGGCTTTGTTATACATGTTCGCAACTCATTTTTTCTCAAAGGGTTTAACCTGTGCTGAACTTGATCCTTTACTGATGACGACGTTGCGAGGAAAGTGCAGAGTCAACCTACTCGACGCCACTGTTTAAAAATAATTTTGGATTCAGGAGGTTTTGTTTGCATGTACTTTCATCTTCCCCCACAACCTTCCCTAATCTGTTAAAATCTAATACATAAGAAATTTGTGGATTCAAAGTCTTTGCACAGCAGTTCATCGAGATTTTTTACCTTCTTTACATTTAGAACTACCTTGTTTGTATGTAGGTATGTATGGGATGTGACGTATATATAATGGGTGATTTTTTTGCTAGTATCTTTTTGGCAACACTGTTTTTGACAGATGACGCGTGAATCGGGTCTTGTGTCATTGTCAAACTTGTTCAGTTTGGTCTATAATTTAACCATGAATCGACTTATGAACGAACAACGCTTGCAAATTATTGAATTTTACTATCAAAATTCATGCTCGGTTAAGAGAGTGCTTCCAATTTATGGGCAATTTGGTCGGCCTACTGAGGGAGCTATTCGGCAGCTTGTGACTAAATATCGAACCCAGTTTACATTATTGGACATTAAACCACCAACACGCAGACGTAGAGTGAGGACTGAAGAAAATATTGCGGCTGTATCCGCCAGTGTTAGTGATGACCGTGAAATGTCGATTCGCCGCCGTTCGCAGCAATTGGGCCTCTGCTACTCCACTACGTGGAAAATTTTGCGACAGGATTTGGGTGTAAAACCTTATAAGATACAGCTGGTGCAAGAATTGAAGCCACACGACCTCCCACAACGTTTCCAATTTGGTGAATGGGCGCTGGCAAAGTTGGAGGAAGATCCAGATCGAAAAATTGTGTTCAGCGACGAAGCTCATTTCTGGTTGAATGGGTACGTTGACAAGCAAAATTGCCGCATCTGGACTGAAGGCCAGCCAGAAGCATTGCAAGAGCTACCAATGCATCCAGAAAAAATCACTGTTTGGTGTGGATTATGGGCCGGTGGCATCATCGGGCCGTACTTCTTCAAAGACGACAATGGCCGGAACGTAACTGTGAATGGCGAGCGCTACCGTGCGATGATAACAAACTTTTTTGCCCAAAATGGAAGAGCTGGACTTGGCTGACATGTGGTTTCAACAAGACGGTGCCACATGCCACACCGCACACGAAACAATGGCCCTATTGAGAGGCGAGTTCGGTGAACAGTTTATCTCACGTTTGGGGCCCGTCAATTGGCCGCCTAGATCGTGTGATCTCAATTAAATTTTGTTGATTAGAGAGTAGATTAGGGGTAGTATAACTGGGAAAAGCTTCCTCTTGTCACCCTGTCACAAAGGAGCGATTGTATCAGCTAGTTCTGGATGTACGAAATTCGACACGGTTACGATGAGAGGCCAAAGTCAGGAGCATAAATAATGTAGTCGAGGCAGCAGCACCCGTGTGACCAATACTCGAGGCTAAGATAAAATGATCAGAAATACCAACTCTATACGCCTCGTCACGCCTCTGACGACGAAAAAATATGAGATCCAGGCTGACATGTAGCACGCTCCTGTTAGAGTGTTTTGCTAGAAGTCCTACGAAGGATTGTGTGAAACATCAGGAGGAGGCAGGGTTGCCAGATCTAAGCCTCACCGACTAAGAACAGTTGGGACACTGGCGGGAAAACCTTCAAGTCCAAAATCTATCTGCGAATAACACACATATAGGACTGGCATGTCGCGTATTTAATGTGAACGAGTGAGATAGGGAGAGAAACACGTATGTTAGAGAGAGAGAGAGTGAGGCGTCTACAAACTCGTCCTTGTTGTCGTACATGCTTCATTCGCCGTCTTACTCTATCATACGTCTTTTTCTCCCTATCTCTCTTAGCCCTATCCTAGTGTAAGTTAGAAAGTGCGGATGTTTGTTACTCAATCACGCCAAAATGGCTCAACAGAACTGTGGTATTGAGATGGACTATAGTCTAGTACTTTTTATAATATCTTCAGGTGGCTGACGCGGAAAGCGCTCAGTCACTGGTCCGACCAAAGTGAGTAAGGGCATGGCATTTGCATCGTGTATTTTTTGAATTTCGACATCCGTTTTCATGGAATGATCGTCTTGATTTAGATTTGTTTTGTTTTACTACTATGATATTTGTAGAGTGAACAAGTAGTTAAAGGCCATGGGGAGTCAAAGCACACGTACTGTATAGTTCTTTTCACTGTTTTTGGCGGTTACGTCTTCAATGCCATATGAAATAAGTAAGCAAATCGACTAATTGAGCTGAAGTGCCATAGGAAAATTGCACACTGGGTAAGCCGATCGCAAAATGCAAATATGCACATTCGCTTTCTCAAAATACTGCAATAATGTTGGCAAAACGGTCCTTTAGTTGCATTTTCAGGTACTGCTGTTTTATATTCGGAGATCAATAAAACGTAAAGACAAAATGGTACACCCATATCAAGCAGGTTGTCACTGACAGTGACAAGCTTAGGTTAGGAATACGTTAGCTAGAGGATTTTTGAGCTGAGATCGGGGCTTACAGAAACAAACGTCCTCTCACAGCAACAGATTGCATATGTATATACAGGGTGACTTCGAAGTTGAGTCATTTATTTCAACAGTGAGTAGATCTGATCAAAAGAAATGTTTTATTCCTTTACCATTTTTCTGGTAAGATTAAAGTAACAAAGTTATAGCCCTTTGGAAGTTTGAGTACCGCGCTGTCTCAATAATAATATTATGTGCTCGTGTTTGGCGACAACGGATATAATCCGCCTTATCGGTTGATCGCATCGGAAACAAAAAAGCGAAAGAATTTGGAACGATGTTTTTACAATTATTTCATTCAGTTGTTTACAGTCAGTGTCAGTCGGTAGTGAATAGTGGTGTCTGTTGCGTGGCTCAAACGAAATAAAAAATGGCACATGTTTATGTGGATCGGTTTCCCAATCGAGTGCAACCAACCCCTCGTGCCTTTGTTTTGACTTAAGACCTCACATATGGACGGCATGCCGGTGCTCCAAGACCTCACGATCAAATACAGGTCCGCACTGAAATACTTGTCGGGAGAATACTTTATAAAACAAGGTAAAAATTTTTTTTTATTTTTTTTTTATTTTTACGCACATATTTTGGTTTATCTTCCTTCTACAATCATTATCTGAAAATTAATGACTCAACTTCAAAGTCACCCTGTATATGAGGGAGTGCGACCTTTCAAAAAACGAGAAAAAATATACTAAAATTAAAATCGGTACTTTCACTGAAAACTAACAGATCTGGCAACCCTGCGGGTCAGCGCTGGTTTCCGTATCGATTTTCCGGAGCACGTTGGCTGGCACGCATGCGCAGGTGGTCCTTTTGTTGCCTCCCGCAACGGACACTCAGGATAAGATTAAAAAGTTATATTTTATGTTAGGGATTCTACCGACTGGATTTTCAAGCCACAACTTGTCACTTAGAAAAGAGGGATATCCACCCCTCTCGCATGTTGGTATCCATGCAGCACATCTGTGTTCTGACTATTCAAACTGCACAAAATGTGTAATTAAAACAAAAAGGAGAAAGCCGTTAAAGTTTGATCTATCAAATATGGTTTTTGAAGATACATTTTAATGTAATCTACAAATAAATTACCAGCAAAAAATTTCGTTTCCGATCTTCAAAGTTTTTTTGAAAATTATTTTTTTAATGATAACTTAGTAACCCTTAGGCCAGTTTTTTTAAAAGATTAATTGAAATTTAGCAGGAGATTTAACTAAAAACTATTAAGAAAAACGTTCTATTAAAACCAGATATGGCCATCTTGATCGCCAGAATCAAATCCGTAATTTTTTTCTTTAGTGGTTTGAGTTTTATTAACGAATTGGATTGGAATTACACAAATTTTAGCCTTCTATCGAATGATGCGAAGATTCAACATATTCCAACAGAATTATTGATATTTTGCCGAAAAGTCGATATTTCAAAAAACTTCCATGTTCACTTGATAGTCTAGGGTTGAATCAATTTTCAAACATACAAAATTAGGACACCCTAAAAAACGTTTTTTGAATCTGGCTGGGAAAAGCAAATGGTTATTTCGAAAATCTTTGGTGCTATAGCTATAAATTGTTACAAATAGGCTTGAAATTTATTTTTTGAATCAATAGTTGTTTGCTATGACTTTAACAGCATTTCCCAACGTTTTCCAGCCACAGACTCCTGAATAAAAGAAACAAAATGCCGCCTATTGGAAAGTATGGTATGGTATGGTCCACGTATTAGATATTTACTAGATTCTGTTAAAATTTGCCAATATCAACCGTTTTATTGCATGTCACTCGAAAAAATCGTGCATTCGAAAATTTATCACCGTGTATCTCCGTCCATTTTTCGAACACCCTGTATAATAATCAGATTTATAGGCTGGTGAAATTAGTGAGTTATCGGAATAAAGGCTATACCAATAAGTAAAAAAAAAATACTCGTATATGGCTATTGCTACTACTCTAGCTGTAATCTTTTCTACTCTAGCTGTAATCTTTTTTGGCAAAAATTAATTCACTAAAACGCGTCCAATGAAGTACATATAGGTTGAAAAAGATACTTACTGCCTCTCTGGGGTATCTGCGCAGCTGAAATTAGAAAAACATGAATTAATATTTTTTGAACGTTTTTAATAGAAACTCTTCCGCTTCGTCATCCCAGCAAATTAATGTCGGCATTTTTCCTGTTGTTCCACAAAATCATAGACATATAATATAAATGAAAAATAAGTTGCGTGCAGGCAGTTATCCCCTATACTTGAATGGCAACTTGCTATCGCAAAACTTCATGTTCAAGTTCCTCTTAGGATAGTTGTACCTTGCTCCTCGAATTCACAGTCAGCAGTCTAGTGCTGCCATCTGATGCACAGCAGCGCAAATTGCCTATAAAAAAATGTAGGCAGTATAGAGACCAGAGGTTCAAAACTAAAAACATTTTGAACCTCAAGCTTTTCGGTATTTTTGTTAAAACTGATTTTGAAGCTCCTCTAAAGAGATTAATATTGAGAAAAGTCGTGGCAGACCATCGAATGTTTCGAAAAACTGTGGCCAAATGGGAAACCTATAGCAGAAAAGAAGCTAGACGATTTAAAATCATTACACAAGGTTCTATAGAAATCTAGTTGGCGATTCAAGTATTCAGGAGGATATATACTAAGTGACATATAAATCCGAACACCCAGTTTAAATGGTTTTATTTTAATAAAAGTTGGTGAATGTATTTATCTTACTGTAAATAAGTGAAAAAATTTTTAGCCTTATCAGTTGGACATTCCGATGTTTATACTGCTTTTTTTAAATTCACTAACGCTCTAAAAATGAATATTTCAGCCGCAATAAAGAATCAACGTTGGCGGATTTTGGTTCTTGACATACTTTACGATCGGTTACGATGTCTAGAGTACGGAGACCTGTACGATTTCGTCAACTTAGTGAGTTTGATAGGGGCCGTATAGTGGGACTTCGGGAAGCTGGACTTTCTTTTCGGGCAATTGCAGTTAGAGTGCAAAGAAGTGTAGACACTGTGGTTAGGTGTTGTTAGGCATGGCTTCGAGAAGGCCGTACGCAAAGAGCAAGGGGCACTGGACGCCGCCGTAGAACAACAGACCGTGAAGATCGCCGCCTAAGATTATTGGCCTTGAGGGAAAGAAGGAAGACCTATTGGCATGCGAAGTGTTTACCGACGAATGAGAAGTTTTGGCTTGTTTTCATACCGGCCACACTGGGTCCTCCCTTTAACTCGAGAACACCGACGTAATCGCCTTGAGTGGTGCAGACAACGGTCACTCTGGGATCAGGAATGGAACAGTATTGTCTTTAGTGACGAGTCTCGATTTTGTTTAGGCATGCACGATGGTCGTGCCAGGGTTAGAAGGCGCCGTGGTGAAAGGAGGAATTCACAGTTTTTTGTTGAAAGACATGTTCATCACACTGTTGGAGTTATGGTTTGGGGTGCTATAGCTTATGGTTCCAGGTCACCTTTAATCTTCATCAGACGTAACATGAACGCGCAGCGTTATATCCACGAAGTTCTAGAACCCCATCTTTTACCCTATCTTGACACCCTGGCAGATCCAACTTTCCAACAAGATAATGCCCGACCACATGTTGCAAGAGTTACAATAGACTTCTTTCAACATAATGATGTCACATTGTTACCATGGCCACCAAGATCTCCCGACTTATCCCCAATTGAGCACGTGTGGGATATGATGCGTAGGAGATTGCTCAATTTGCAACGTCCTCCTCAGACTCTAGAAGCACTTCGAGAGGAGTTGGTGGTTGCTTGGAATGAGATACCACAGGAGGACATTGACCACCTGATCAGAAGCATGCCTAGGCGCGTTGGAGAATGCGTAGCACATCAGGGTGCATCCACACATTATTAAAGGTCAAAGGGCTTTAAAGCAGTGCAATCATTTTGAAATTTTGATCATTTACTTATTATGCTTCATTAAGTACTTATACAAAATTTTATTAAAATAAAACCATTTAAACTGGGTGTTCAGATTTATATGTCACTTAGTATAGATGGGTTCAATAGTGAATCAGATTTCGAGCTTGAGGATGAATAATACAAATTTTCGATTCTGGGTCTTAATTCATTTCCTCCTTGTGTGTGTGTGTGTGTTGTGTGCAGGTATCACCAGGTCTCCTTAGCGCTTTGAGTGACGCCTGACTGACTGGTGATCATTTTATTATGGTACGCTCGTGCAACACAAGATGGCATACACTTCTGCTTGGAAAGTAGGCGTATCTTCCAAGCTGTATTTCACATATACCTGCACATGTTCCCTGCTCGGTTGCGTCTTTGGTCTTCCGTTCAATCTCCGATTTTGGTCTTGCAGTTATTTTGGAATACAAATGTGAAAACCATGTGGTCCTTCCTCACTTCAAGAATGTTACTTCCTGTATGTTACCTAATTTGATTGTGTTTAAGGTCATGTCTTCCCTTTGGCTGTAACTGAAGCCTGGAAATATCCCGTCGTGCATCATCAATTTTTAGTAAAGTGTTAGGACTTCTAAAATTACGAGGAGCAATGTACGATGAGTCTAGAGGCTAATTTATCACCGAAATACTTGAAGTTAAGCCTGTTACTTGCTTGGGAGATACTAAGGTACTATTCGAGAGATTGAGAAGAAACCGCCGTTTGTTATAAGCCAAAAGGAACAACTGAAAAAACTTCATGCCAATGCCATTTAAATTAATTTGCAGTCTGAATTAGTGAAATACACAGTGGACGATCAAACTGTTCCAATCAATTCGAGCTTCACTAATGCAAACTTGCTGCATGCATTGATGGTATTTGGGTAATCGCAACTTTACTCTGCATTGTTACCATTTTTTTTCAATGAATTTCTACTGAGTGACGTAAAAAGGTAAACACCTACGGACGTCCCAGAGGGAACATCGCCATCGCCAATCAGTGGTTTGAAGAGCATGGAAGGATGGTTGGTATGCGTACAGTTTGGCCTTTTTTCTTATCGCCCACATTGGGTGCTACTTCACACAGCTGAACATCGGCGCAACCGTTTACTCTAGCGTAGAGAGAGAATTCTATGGGACTGGGAATGGAATCAGGCGGTCTTTAGTGACGGATCCCGCTTCTGTCTGGGGATGCACGATGGTCACGTTCACCACACCGTGGCAGTTATGGTATGGGGTGTAGTAGTGGAGCCTCATCTTATTCCATACCTAAACACCATCCAAAGCCCCCAATGCCAGACCGTACGCTGCTAGAGCATCGTTAGCCTTCATGGATCACCATAGCCTCAACCGTTTACCTTGGCCACCACGATCGCCTGGCCTAACTCCAATTGAACATGTCTCGGACATGATAGTTTCTGCAGTCAGTTGACGAATCAAGCGGAAAATCTAATCATTTTACTAGTAAGGGACTGAACATATACGCAAAAATTATTAAAATCGGATAAAGATACGTAGGTGTTTACCTTTTTTTGTATATTTACTATTATTATCACTAGTATCGACACACTTGTTCGGCGCTCGAGTCTTTCAATAGCAGCTCGGTCAAAAGTTTGTCTGGCTGGTGAAAACCGGTCCTCTACGAGCGATACCACCTATTAATCACTTGAATATTTTTCTCGTAACTGTTCTTTTAATTTTTGAAATAGTCTGAAACTACCAGGGACTAGATCTGGCGATTACAGTGGGTCATTAACAATTTAAAGCAACACGCCACGTTTCTCTTTAAAATCATCTAAACATTTTGATATCAGCCTTGCATAATAGGTCCCTGTAGTGGTAAACGTCTCATCTACAAGTATTCTATAGACCGCTACTCGTCTCGACACCCCTGATTCCCCCACCAGGCTGTGCGAAACAGTGTCGACACTCATCACAGGCGACGCGTCAATTAGGTGAACACTAAGTGTCCACCGAGCTACCAGCTGTGGCGTACTATGCGAAAGTTACATAAACTACAGTATATTCAGATAAGAGATAGACCGGATGTAAACAAAAGGTTCGGGTGATTTTCACGCTAACGCCGCCGTCTCGACGTAAAACAGGAGCCCTCATTGGTCAATTCGCAATTAAATGCCTATGCCGAGTGGCAGAGCAGTCGTATCAAGGCAGAGTCACATTCAGGTTCAGACGTGTTACGTATGTCGTGTGCATCATTGCAATTTGATATTTCTTTGGACGTTTTCGTTTGTTATCTTATTAAGTTGTTGAGTTTGTCGTTGTTATTGTTATACCTTGTTATTGATTGTTATTGTTATCAACTGCTTGCGCAAAATGCCCAGTAGTACAGATACTGCCGATGAAGTTGTAAACTCCTGTAGTCCACCTAGGAAACGCTCTAAAAAAAGACACCTGAGTGCAGAAATGAAAGAGGTCATTTTGAATATATATAAGATCGAGCGCGAGGAGGACGAGGCATCAACCATCAAAGAAATTGTTGTGAAGGTTTCTCACAAAGTTGGGGTGTGTCGCGCATCAGTGTTTAATGTGTTAAGACAATACAAAAAAAATCACACCTTTTCTGAGCCAATGACCAGTAAACATCGCAAAAGTATTGTTAAATCATTGGATGAAGCTGATAAGCATGCGATTAGGAGGAAAGTGCATGAATTCTTCTTTAGGAATGAAATACCTACTATAGATAAAGTACTGCAGGAGGTAAATGGAGATACAACGTTGCCAAATTTCAAACGATCAACTTTCCATGCGTTACTGAAGCATTTAAATTTCAAATGGAAAAAACGGGGTCGTAATAGTTTACTACTGGATAGAGAAGAAATTGTGCTATGGAGGAGGGATTATTTAACAAAAATTGGGAAATATAGAAATCAAAACAGGAAGATTTATTACCTTGATGAAACGTGGGTAAACGCAGGACACACTAAGTAAAGTATGGGTTGATGATTCTGTAACTTCATCCAGGAGGGCCTTTCTAGATGGACTGTCCACCAGATTAAAAAATCCAGCAGGTAAATACGAGTAATAGACAACAATCGGATGTTTTTCAAACCTTGGGAACAAGGTTCTAAACATTAATTCCACGGGGCAGATAAAACATATTACAAGTAACAAAACTTTTATAACTTTCGATAAAATGCGTGGA